ATGGAAAAAGGAGACGGTATAATAGGGCCCACATGTGCCAACAGAAAGTGAATCACATTTTTATACGGTTGAACTGTGCTGGATGGAGTCGCTCTTATACAAAGTTATGAGGTTCACTTACATCCCGTGCTGAATTTACATTGTTACCTTGTTTTAACCAGCACAAGATCCCGGTGTCATAAGAGAAGCTAAATGACTAAACTAATTGAATAGCTAATAGGAAAAGTAAATGCATATGTGAAATGAAATTGCCCTTTTAAATATCCTGACTGAAATCAATTTGTGAAATCCAGTTATTTATTCCTCTTTATAAACAGCATTTTCAAATAGGTTATATATTAATATTATTTATGAATGTGTTAATATATCTTTAAATAATATACTATTGTTTTATGTTGCTTTTTAAACCCCTTTTTTATTTGAACTATTTATTGAGGTTAATATTTCATTAGTACATTTTTTTTTAAATCCTCCCTTATATTGTATTTGTAATTTAGCCTTTTTTACTTGTAGCCTAATTAATTAATTTGTAAACAGTTTTTATTAATACATATTTTCATTGTGCAATTAGTTATTTATTACTATTTCTGTGGCACTTGTGCTCCTCCACACTCTCTTACATTAAACACAAGCATTTTATCCATTGTTAAAACTCGGACTTTTAATTATAAGTTTTCAGTGGTTGACTTCAAAGTTCAGACTTGAAGCCCTCAATAAATCACTCTTTTACCTGCCCCACACATTTTTACTAGTCTTATTGAGAAATATCTCCCAACCGTCATGAATTTAATAACATATTAAAATAACTTCAGTCTGATTTGTAACTGCACACTTCACAGCCAGGCTGTGAGTTGCTGTGGACAGCTTCAGTACTCTCAGTACTTTATTTTCCACACAGGTCATTCTTCCTGTTCTTCCCAAGGTATCACCTGCAGGATATATTTTCACAAGCTCCATCCCTTAATCGCACAGATGTCCACAAATATTCTTTTTCCTTTGTCACTACGTGAATCTCACACAATGTTTATCTCCACCCAGAAACTAACAAGCTGCAATTTGCTGGATATTAACATTTAAAAAAAATAACTCATCGTTCTTTTTGGTCCAAGCCACAGCTCACTGGATATTTTATTAATCCAATGTAAAAACCCACCTACTGTTAAGGATCCAATTTCCCACTTGAGGTACTGAAACCACACGTTTTGTAGGTTATATTTTTCTGGCAGCTTGAGAATAGTCTTAAATGTTTCCCCTAATACCATTAGCTGACTGAGAAAAAAGTCATTCATGAATTTGTTTCCTCTTGTCGATCACCGCCGCTCTCTTTAGCAATCAACAGTCTGTTTCATGCCTGTAGTTTTGTTTGCAGTGCTTCTGTCAGGCCCTCTTTGCCCAAATGTAGAAATTGTTTCAAGTCAGTTGCAAATTGCATATACTGTACATTGCTGAAAACATTTTTCAAAGCACACTGATTTTCCTACCTTCAAGGCTTTGCTTTTCCATTATGCTATGAACTGAATTGAACCACTTACGATATAAATTCTCATATTCTTTCTCTGAACTTCCTTATCACTAATTCAATGTTTATCTTGTGACTATAATGTCACTCATTTTCTCAATAAAAATAACAAACGATGATGATTATTGTTAACCCTGCCCACTTATAGTGTTGTATGAGTACATACTTTGTATACATTGACATACACTGTATATGACACTGTCACTGATGACTGTGAGGGAGCGAGGCAGACGCTGGCGCTGAGTAATAGCCATCTGCACAAACTGAGCGATGACAAATTGCAGCCAACAGAGCTTAAAGAACTGCTTAATCATCACTATCACAGCCATCACTTACACTGTGCATAGTCGTGTGTGTGTGTGTGTGTGTGTGTGTGTGTGTGTGTGTGTGTGTGTGTGTGTGTGTGTGTGTGTGGTATGGTGTGTGTGTGTGTGTGTGTGTGTGTGTGTGTGTTGTGTGTGTGTACGTCTACGTGTGTAATGAGTGTGTGTGTGTACCATAGCGTGGTTGTATTATGAGACACACACACACACACACACACACACACACACACACACACACACACACGACTATGCACAGTGTAAGTGATGGCTGTGATAGTGATGATTAAGCAGTTCTTTAAGCTCTGTTGGCTGCAATTTGTCATCGCTCAGTTTGTGCAGATGGCTATTACTCAGCGCCAGCGTCTGCCTCGCTCCCTCACAGTCATCAGTACAGTGTCATATACAGTGTATGTCAATGTATACAAAGTACACACACACACACACGACTATGCACAGTGTAAGTGATGGCTGTGATAGTGATGATTAAGCAGTTCTTTAAGCTCTGTTGGCTGCAATTTGTCATCGCTCAGTTTGTGCAGATGGCTATTACTCAGCGCCAGCGTCTGCCTCGCTCCCTCACAGTCATCAGTACAGTGTCATATACAGTGTATGTCAATGTATACAAAGTATGTACTCATACAACACTATAAGTGGAGCAGGGTTAACAATAATCATCATCGTCCTTGTTATTTTTTATTGAGAAATGAGTGACATTATAGTCACAAGATAAACATGAATTAGTGATAAGGAAGTTCAGAGAAAGAATATGAGAATTTATATCGTAAGTGGTTCAATTCAGTTCATAGCATAATGGAAAAGCAAAGCCTTGAAGGTAGGAAATCAGTGTGCTTTGAAAAATGTTTTCAGCAATGTACAGTATATGCAATTTGCAACTGACTTGAAACAATTTCTACATTTGGGCAAAGAGGCCTGACAGAAGCACTGCAAACAAACTACAGGCATGAAACAGACTGTTGATTGCTAAAGAGAGCGGCGGTGATCGACAAGAGGAAACAAATTCATGAATGACTTTTTTCTCAGTCAGCTAATGGTATTAGGGGAAACATTTAAGACTATTCTCAGCTGCAGAAAATATAACTACAAAACGTGTGGTTCAGTACCTCAAGTGGAAATTGGATCCTTAACAGTAGGTGGGTTTTTACATTGGATTATAAAATATCCAGTGAGCTGTGGCTTGGACCAAAAAGAACGATGAGTTATTTTTTTTAAATGTTAATATCCAGCAAATTGCAGCTTGTTAGTTCTGGGTGGAGATAACATTGTGTGAGATTCACGTAGTGACAAAGGAAAAAGAATATTTGTGGACATCTGTGCGATTAAGGGATGGAGCTGTGAAAATATATCCTGCAGGTGATACCTTGGGAAGAACAGGAAGAATGACCTGTGTGGAAATATAAGTACTGAGAGTACTGAAGCTGTCCACAGCAACTCACAGCCTGGCTGTGAAGTGCAGTTACAAATCAGACTGAAGTTATTTTAATATGTTATTAAAATTCATGACGGTTGGGAGATATTTCTCAATAAGACTAGTAAAAATGTTGGGGCAGGTAAAGAGTGATTTATGAGGGCTTCAAGTCTGAACTTTGAAGTCAACCACTGAAAACTTATAATTAAAAGTCCGAGTTTTTAACAATGGATAAAATGCTTGTGTTTAATGTAAGAGAGTGTGGAGGAGCACAAGTGCCACAGAAATAGTAATAAATAACTAATTGCACAATGAAAATATGTATTAATAAAACTGTTTACAAATTAATTAATTAGGCTACAAGTAAAAAGGCTAAATTACAAATACAATATAAGGAGGATTTAAAAAAAATGTACTAATGAAATATTAACCTCAATAAATAGTTCAAATAAAAAAGGGGTTTAAAAAGCAACATAAAACAATAAGTATATAATTTAAAGATATATTAACACATTCATAAATAAATATTAATATATAACCTATTTGAAAATGCTGTTTATAAAGAGAAATAAATAACTGGATTCACAAATTGATTTCAGTCAGGATATTTAAAAGGGCAATTTCATTTCACATATGCATTTACTTTTCCTATTAGCTATTCAATTAGTTTAGTCATTTAGCTTCTCTATGACACCGGGATCTTGTGCTGGTAAAACAAGGTAAACAATGTAAATTCAGCACGGGATGTAAGTGAACCTCATAACTTGTATAAGAGCGACTCCATCCAGCACAGTTCAACCGTATAAAATGTGATTCACTTTCTGTTGGCACATGTGGGCCCTATTATACCCGTCTCCTTTTTCCATCAGCGAACCACTTTCCACTGAAAAGAAGTCTGTGAAGTCGAGACAGCAGATTTTGCAGATAGAGACGGAACGGAGAGATGAAAGACAGATTGTATCTGTGTGTGTAATTCCACCTGTCATTTCTCTGATCCCCACTGGTGAGTGACCTCGACTGACTTCTCCTCAGCCTTTACAAGTGACAGTGGCCTGAGCAGCACACTGCTTCACATTCTCACCTAACATGAGCCTGTCAAACGACACTGTATTTCAAATATTTTACATATGATCATCTTTCAGGCTTTTAAGCAATATCAAGTTGTAAATGCACTTCATACCAGGTCAAGTAATCATATTTTTACTGCGCTGTAGCAAAAACAATACTGATCACGGGCGAAGTGGCAATTCATTGATTGATAACACAAAGTCAAATACGTCTGCAGCAGGTACTGAGATTTCTATCACTTCAGACTCATCCTCTGCTTTCACTTTGTTGTTGTTTTAGAACCAATGAAATGTCTTATATTAAAGTCCAATCCCAATCTATATCCTATTCATATTTACAACTGCTCAGTGTTGTAAACAAACTTGATCAGGCCTGTGTGGAAATCAAAAGCTCTAATTACAGGCCTCTAATTAAAGACCACACCGGCTCCCTCTGAGCACTGCTGATCCCCAAAACACACTCCTGCCGACACCGCAAAGACACAGACTAACCTGATTGAACGAAATGAAATTAAAATTTTAATTAAAAAAAAAAAACATTTTTTCACGAGTGATATCCAACTGCGACTTTAGTGAACCAGCTCTCCCCTTGAGCACATTACTCCTTTGCACACAACATCCTTGAACAGCTCAGCCTCTGCAACATCCACATGAGATCAAACCACTGACCTTCTCCCAGGCTGTAGCGGATGCGGGCATCCCAGGCCAGCAGGGTGTCTCGGCTGTTGAAGCCCAGGACCAGCATGTGCGCGAGGCAGAGGATGGAGAGAGTGTAGGATACGCCGTCATACCCGGGCCCTGGCTCTACACCGCAGATCCCCTGAAGCCGCAGAGAACATTTGATTTTGAAACATCCACCTTATCGGCCTGACTGAAAGGAGTTCCCATCTCTCCTGATTGAGGTCAGGTGGATTTGGCCAAATTAAATTCTGAAGTCAGGTGTGGATACTTTTCCAGACACTGGAAGTGACAAACCGAAACTGAAAGACAATAGCACAATAGTATCTCACATTTCACAGAGAGAACTCTCTGTCAAATGAAAGTTGGACTCAGTAATGTTTCAGCAGATCCTGTGACTCTTCGGTTCCTTTGGTGTCTTTGATCTGATGCAGTTTATGGAGATTAGATCAGATGATACTTTTTTATCCCTACTGGTTAATTTCAATTAATGACCCCTTTTATTCTTTGTTAGTTTAGGATTCTTGCATTCAGACTGCTCTAAAAGACCTAATTTATACTGTTGCTGGCAAATTTGTTATTCATCCTAATATGACCCATCTTAACTCCTTATCCATATGGCTTTCACATTATCTGGTCTACCCCCCTGTACACGTGGCAGCAGTCTCATGACACCAGCAGGACGCCTGAGGTGCAGTATGTGATGCAACACCACCACAGAGCTGTAAAACAAAAGAACCTGCCACCAGTGCAGTTCACCTGCGCTCTGCTGCAGCTGCACGTACCTCCAGTGTAACATTGAGCCTCTCCTTGTGGCCGCTGCCCTTCTCCTTCCCCTTCTTCCTCTCCTTATACACCAGCAGAGACAGACAGTCTGAGACAGACACAGTGACAATGAGCTTTAAAAACTGACAGGCTTAAAAGTCAATATTGAGATTAATAGCAGAATGTAAAACAACAACAGTGTCGATTTTTTTTTGTTGTAATCCCACTGTGTGTTCATGGCACAGCTGTCATAACAAATCCTAAAACAATGAACTGATCCACTAGCACAGCTGATGATGAAAGTCAAGCCAGGAATACACATGCATATGGACACTCACTCACACACACAGAGTGGAGCAGCCTACATTATTCCCACCGCTCTTGCCAGTTTCTACAAGGACACAGCAGCAGCTTGCAGTTTGACCCACATGTTTGTATGTTGAGTCTATCCTCACAGCATCCCACGTGAGACTCTACTCAGATTTTAAGACACTCAGCTTTGTTATTCTGCCAAACTTGCAAACAAGAACCTGTCAGACTGTGGCAATGTCACAGTTTATGTTTTTGGCTGGAAGGCTTTCAAATAATTAACCTCAAATCCAAATGGCACTAAAAACCCCTTTAAGATTTAATATCCAGGCTCCTAATTTGAAGGATACTGGCAAAACTGGCAAAAGGTGATTTTGGTCATTTATATGAAATCAATCGATCAGTTCAGCTGATGGATTGCGTAACGTGTTGACGCGGATGTGTTGCGTTACGCGCTCCCGTGGCGCGCAGCCAAGAGTTCAATTGACAAGGTGTGATTAGTTAAACTGCAGAGAATTAAATACGGTTAGTGCCCAATGATATTCACATGACTGAAGTGATCTTGGTGAAGATGTGTAAAAACTGACAATAAAAATAAGAGCAGGATATAAAAATAGAAGCCACACAGCCTACCTGCGACCGGAGAGGGCTTCCGAAGCACGACCCACCGAGTCTTCCACTGTGGAGAAGTGAAGCAAAGAAAAAATAAATAAAAAAAGTATATCCCTCTGGTTGGCCTGGGAGTGTGGGCACATGTTTTAAGGCGTAAAATAAGAGGGAAATTGGTGGAACTGACCTTTTTTCCATCTCTAAACTTGACTTGTCCCTCCGCGACAACTGTATCCGTCATCTTCTGTCATGGTTCCGAGCAGCTGTGTGTGTGTGTGTGTGTGTGTGTGTGTGTGTGTGTGTGTGTGTGTGTGTGTGTGTGTGTGTGTGTGTGTGTGTGTGTGTGTGTGTTGCCGCCTCCCCCAGCCCGCGGCGAGGGATAGAGAGAGGGGTCACTTTTCAAAATAGCCTTTTACAGCGCAGGCCCCGCCGGCTGAGTGCACTCTCTCTTCCCGACAAGCAGACCACCAAGGCGGGTGAGAGATACCACCCCACCCCCCACCCCCTTGCGGGGCCCTGCGGAGTTAGTACAGTTGTCATCCCGCGTCAAGTGCTTATTGTTTACAATGGAGCTAATTCGATTAAAAGCGCATAACACGCGTACCTTTCACTTAACTCATAAAGCTGGCACTCCGCCGGGTGTTACACGGGGATTCATGTTGCCTTAATGCTAATCAGCGCAGCCTTGGTTCTGTCTGTGGAAATCCAGTTAATCTGTAAACGCTGGCTCATGAGTAATCCCGAGTTCAGATGCAAAATGAGCAAATTAACCTCAAATCCGCAACAATATATAAATGATTATATACGTGATTACCGTGATTACTATTCAAGAAAATACTTTATTTTTATGAACATGTTCATTCATTTTGTCCACTGAATTCAAATCCGGGGAGCAAAGGAGGACTGCAGCTGTTTCTGCTGGTGCTGGTACATTGTGGTCTCACAGCAACAAAGTCCAGTGAAATATAGAGTAAATCCTCCTGACGTTTCTGTTGACCAAGGCTTGACTCAGATTTAGATGCTTTGGGGCTGGTGTTACTTTCACAGCCTCTATAAATCCAGGGGCATTTACTTTCCTGGAAATGCAGGTGAATTTCATTAACTATCTGGAAGGATTTAGTGTCAGGGAAGAAAAAACAACAAAAACTTATTGATCTCAAGAAGAGTTTTTGTTTCACTGTTGTTCTAAAAAATGACAGCTGAGAATTTCTCAGGTTTCCCTTTTCAAACATTTAATAGCTAATGAAAAAAACTATCTTTAATACTGCTACACTTTTCATTATTCATTTTTATTTTTAACCTTTTTAAAGGGGCACTGCACAGAGAGAAAATAACCCTAGTGATGTCATAGTGATGTCATCAGGGTTATCTGAGCTCAGACTTGGACACTTCATTTAAACAGAAAGTCTGCATTGCAAAGTGAAAGTGTGGAGCTCAAACGATGTGGGTGTTATAGGCAGGGGCAGTCTAACGAAAGATGATATGAAGTTGCATTATGGGAAATGTAGGCTCTAGAGTTTTTGAAGCTTGACCAACACTGAGGACTGAAAGTCAGAAAATTTTAGTGTCTACTACTTCGAGTTTGCCCGTTCAAAGTCACCCAACTTTATGGAAGTGAAATACTAGATTGCTGGAGTGCCCCTTTAAATCACAGATTTGTGTCAAACTACAGAACCAAAGGTGCCACACATGTTGTCCTGCATGGGGACAACAGGTGGTGATGGAGGAGGCTGACAGGTACTGCCAGTGCGATGCTGTGTCCCAGTTCTGTGTATAGTGTGTAGTATATACTTACTGATGGAGATACTATTTTTGCAGTTGGCTAACAAGAAATCTATATACTTTATGATGAAATACGTGAACTGGCGTGACTGACATAAGTGAAGCTGCAACCACTGTCACTTAAACTGCATAAATAGACAGTTTAAGATGTTTCACCACCAACCACACTTTTCCTAGAGACTTTTGGAGTTTAGCAGCTTTTTCAAGTCTTTTGTTTTCTCTTGAATTTTGTTCAACAATCAAAAATCTTTTTCTTTTTTTTGGATATTAAATTTCCAATACGAACTCATCATGCATGGTAGAAATGGTTTCAGGAGTAGCTATTCAGATCCTGTACCTAAGTAAAAGAAGAAAAACCACTATTTAAAAATGACTCTTTTACAAGTGAAAGCATTAAAACCTTTACCCAAGTAAAATGTATTTTCAGCAAAATATACTCCAACTGTCAAAGTACTCATTATCCCTTTAGGAGGTCAATACTGCATTACTATTATATTGGATAATTGTTATTAATGGTGCATTAAAATGTGAGAGGTATTTTAATGTTGCACTTGGGCAAGCTAATTTTTATTTCTTTATATACTGTTGGCCATTTTCATCTAAAACAATGCATTATATTACATGTTTTACTTGAAAATGTATCATATGTAACCAGCAACCATAGCTGTCAGATATGTGTAGTTATAGTACATGGAGTGAAAAGTATTTCCCTCTGAAATGTAATTGAGTAGAAGTGTTAACGTATTAAGAATGAACTTGTCGTATGAAACTGGGACACAGCATCTGATTAATCTCATCCTGCCATCTTCAAAGATCAGCCCTCAGTGGGGAGTCAGGGAGCAGCTGCACAGTTGTTGACACTTTACCTCAACTTTAAACCTAGACAGTGTTTCAGCTGCTGCAGACACTCTCATCAGTCAGAGTCACAGAGACCACATCAGTCAGAGTCGCAGAGACCACATCAGTCAGAGTCGCAGAGACCACATCAGTCAGAGTCGCAGAGACCACATCAGCAGGCCAGACACTTGTGAGTCAGCTAAAGATCCTGCTCCTCAAACAAAAGTTGCTTTCAATTTACTGCGGTCTATCTGCCCTTTGCTCTCACTCTGCTCCAACTGCCTCTTGGATTTGACCATAGAGGGCAAGTCTGAAGTCTGGTACACTGTTGACCTCATCCTGCCGCCACGGTAACGCAGTTCCAAGGCCACACCCTCCCACTTCCTGTCCAGCTCTGTGCCCTGGGTCCCCCGGAGGTCTCGGGAACCTCTGCGGGTTTGCCTGGTGTCTTCTGGGTCGGATTTGGCCCCGATTGCATCCAAATCCAAGGCTCGTTTTGAGGTTGTGTGGTTGGAGCGGGATGAAGGTGACTTGGATTTGCGACGTGAGCGAAGAGGAGGCCGTGGTGGTGGAGGAGGAGGAGGAGGAGGAGGAGAAAGAGAGGGAGTGATGGGGTTTGAAGATGTTGTTGCTCTGCTGGGTATTTTAAAACCTCCTCCTCCTCCTCTTTCCCTCCCTCTCCATCTGTCTCTGTCTTTACCTGGGGAAGAAGAGGCTGCTTTAAAAAGAGACAACAAAAGAAGAGACAAACAGAGGAGACAAAAGAAAATGGAAGAACACTCACCGGCACCGCAAACTGTCCACATGCAAGGAGCACTCACAGAAAACACAACATACAGGCAAAACGTTCTGCATTTCTTTGTGGTGCAGTGGGAAACAGTAACTAGAACATATCTTCATCCCCTGTTATGCTTTTGAGTGTGTGAAGAAGAGAGTGAGAAATTAATCAGAAAATTCAGATTCTGTCAAATTCTGTAAAATATCACACTGTGACAGCCACGACCAGCATGTAGCCAACTGTTTCAACACCACACACACACACACACACACACACACACACACACACGGAGCTGGGAGGCAGCAGGGAACTAAGTGGATGTGACAGATATTCCCATGGCTGTTGCCCATGACATCATGGGAAAGAGGGTTAGATGCTTGGTGCTCAGTGCTTGGTGTGTGTGTGTGTGTGTGTGTGTGTGTGTGTGTGTCAGTTAGTGAAAAGAGATTACGGTCCCCATCTTGATACAGACTGCTGCCATCTACTGGTTTAGGGGAAAACAGATGCATTGTGTGCTTGCTGGTTTTATTCTATTTTTTAAATAATTCTGTGACTTCAAACCTGTTTCTGCTTCTCATTGTATTTCTTTGTTATAACTTAATTAATTCCCACAGTCAGGTCGAGATATGACTAAACACCTGCAAAACAAATGACATTCCCATCATCTGCACTTAATGCTGTGTGTTAATTAGCAAATGATAGCATGCTAACACCCCTAAACTAACATAAAAACATGTTAGCTTTGTAAATGCGACCTTGCTGACATTAGCATTTAACTCAAAGCACCTTCTGCCTTAGTTCAGCCTCCAGTCTAGCTGCTGACAAGGCTGTGGACTTGTTTAAATGAACTCTGTTACTGTGGATCTGCACTAGATACAATGCAAAACAGTATAGTACTAGAATGCTCTATTTAAGTAGAAGAGCTGCTACGTGACTGGACTATTAAACTGCTAAGTGTTGGAGACTAATTTAACAGTACAAAAGTGGCTCCTGAAGTCTTTGTTTTTCAGGATTAGCTTCACAAGAACAGAAGTATAAAGAAACATCTCAAAGAGTCTGACTCACAATGGGAAGTTTCTTTAAAAAAAAAAAAAGGGATTAAAATCGATGCATCAGAAAAAAAAAAAAAAAAATTTTTACTCCACACCATCCTTCTTGCCAAAATGTGGTGCCTACCTTACCCACAATGCAACTCTGTTGCAGTTCCCTGTTGGTGAGAGATTCAGATGTGTTATGCCAGTTGCCAATGTACCTTGAAGCCTCTGCGAGGTCTGGTAAGATCACGTCTTTCTAACTCCACACCCCCAGATTCTTTTCATTTTGACTCTTCAAGTGACATCAGCTGAGGCAAGTTATCAGACTTCACACAGCAGTACAACCTGAGACCTGTAAGATGTGACTGATGTGGAAAATCAGTGGAGTTCCCCTTTAAAGGCTTTACACACCTACACAGGTGGTTCACTTATTTCCTGTTTTTTTTTTATGTACTTAAGCTACAAGTCCATGATAAAGATCAATACTCAAATCAGTAACTAGAGTACTTTAAGTTAGTTTGATATAATTCCATGCAATCAGCTGAAAGAGAGAAACGGTTTTGCCCCTCTCTTCCTCTTTGCCTCTGTGCACCACGTCTTTACGTCCTCTTCTCACCAGCAGATGGAGCCATTTGAGATGACAAGCATTGGACTGATGCACCAGGAGGTAATTATTATGTTGGCTGGTGGAACAAGGGCAACGGTCCCAACAAGAGCCGGTGAACTGAAACACAGAGCCAAAACTGTAATCGTAGAACAGCTTCTGTGAGCAATGCTATCCTGTGCAACACATCAAACATAAGACAAATG